ATAGTAAGGAAGGACCCTAAGAGGGACCCTAATTTTGGAGAACTACGTATTCATAGACACATACATGTGTTCTAGGTGTTCACAGATGTTCCAGGTTCTCAATCGGTTGGGGTTTTGATATGCTTCGGTGTTTCAGTAGGGTGTAGCAGGGTTGGGGTTCGAGACCCTTTCCGGACTGATAAGGGGACATTCAACATACATGGGGACCGTAAGGGCGCATTAACAATATCCCCGTGCAGTCCTCATGTCATCATCTCATCACGTACCTGCACATGTTATTTTTGATTATTCAGGGACAGAGGGCCTTTGCGGACTCAGGTTTACTGCGCAGGGTTTGTAGAGTATACCCATAGGCCCCATAGTAGCTTCTTTCTGGGGTTCATATTTAGAATCCTATAAGGTAATCCCTAAACCCTAAACCCTAAACCCTAAACCCTCAACCCTAAACCCTAAACCCTAAACCCAGAAAGGAACTACTATGGGGCCTATGGGTATAGCTCTTGACGATTTTTTTGGGGATCGACCTTTGGGTTCAGTTGAATGGAGATGCAGAGCAGATGCATGAGGCCAGCGCGCGCAGGATAATTAGAGTTTAGGGTTTAGGGTTTAGGGTTTAGGGTTTAGGGTTTATAAGCTCAAATATTACCAAATAGTAACTATAATTATTCCTTATCCTTGATATAACCATACTAGAAAGAAGCCCGAAGCCTTGTTCTAATTGTCAGGGCTCCTACATTAGCCACCTCCCATAACCAGGGCTGCGCCAGAACAGCCAACCCTAAACCCTAAACCCTAAACCCTAAGACGGTTCCGTTTCCTCGGAAGGATTGGATCACCTTCATTCAAGAAGGCAAGCAGGCCGCCATGCAGAGAGAGCACCCTGGACTGTTTAGGGGTGTAGTGTTTATACTGCTTGTAAGGCTTAGGGTTAACAGGGTTTATCAAGCCTAAACCCTAAACCCCTAAACCCCCAAACCCCCAAACCCGAAACCCCTAAACCCCTAAACCCCCTAAACCCTAAGCCCCTGAACCCCTAAACCCTAAACTATAGGGCTTAGAGTTAGGGGATAAAGTAAACCCTAAACTCTAAACCCCTAAACCCTAAACTATAGGGTTTAGAGTAAAGGGATAAAGTAAACCCTAAACCCTAAACCCTAAAACGCACCCTGGCAATTTCAATCGCGCTTGGACCTTAGTCCCAAGAACCGACACCCTGGATCCCCAAGCGCTTCAACCGTGCGGCCCAAGCCCCAATTCTAAACTGGGCTGTTTCAGGGTTTAGGGTTTGGGGTTCAGGAATTTAGGGTTTAGGGTTCAGGAATTCGATTAAGTCGCCGTATATAGGGGTCCAAACTTCCGAGTCAAAAAAGAATGAGCACCACACTCCTGCACCCCAGCACCCGCCATACCCGCAGCCGCACAGGGTTCAATGTTTAGCACTGCTAGTGCTGTATAACTCGTCTCAAGGTCGTTACGGGGTCGCCTGCACATCCTAACCCCCTCAGAACCCCAGAAACCTACAGCCCTTAACCCCAAAAGCCTAAACTTGGCGTGGGCGTCTTGACCTGTCTGCTCTGTGCTACATGGGTTTATGTAGGGCTACGGGCTGAAAAGCTGGTGCAATCGCACAAGTCCTGATGCAAACAAAGCCCTAAAAGCGTAGCAGTGTAAGGTATAGAGCTTCAGGGCTTGGGGGTTTAGGGTTTAGAGGGTTTGGCCTAAACCCTAAACCCTAACTAAACCCTAAACCCTAAACCCTAAACCCTAAATCCTATCCCTCGTTCTTTTCTCTGGAGAGCTGCGTGGATTCGCGGAGGTTAAGGGCTGTTGGGGCATTGGAGTTGCCGCGGGTTCAGCTTGTTTTTAGGGTTTAGGGTTTAGGGCTCAGGGTTTAGGGTTTAGGGTTGAGGGTTTAGGGTTTAAGGTGTGTAGACTATTTTAGAGTGCTTGCATGTCATGGCTCTTGGAACAGCAAACTCTCCACCATCAACATTGCCACCATGTTTGCTTCGAAACAGGCCAGGGTCAACGCTTTCCCTTCTTTGCGAACCCTTATACAACTCCAAAATTTAGATTAATCCGAAGCCTCAATTTCCACAAGCTCGGTAATCAAAGTGCTACATGCTGAAGGTGCGCGCTCGTAAACTACAGCTGATTGTTCAAGTCTGGTTCGGTAAGTAGTAGGCAGGTAGAACTAGCCTGACATGGGCTATCCTGGCCCTAAACCCTAAACCCTGAACCCTGAACCCTAAACCCTGCCGAAACCCTAAACCCTGAACACTAAACCCTAAACCCTGAACCCTAAACCCTACTAAGCCCACTTTCCAAGTCCCTCCGACTCCAAGTGAGCTGGGAACGCTACATACATTCGGCACAACCCTCTCTAGGTTCCCCAGTAGTACCCTTTTGCCCCTTTTTCGGTTGCCTTAACAAAACCAAACAATAGGAGAAAAAAGGGTACCCTTATTATTTTGGGGGCTGCTGGGGAACCTGGCTCTGAGCCAATCAGCCCACTTGCAAAGATCTTTAACGCCGCTGTACATCCCTAATAGAAGCCTAAATCATTACCGAGATTACTGTTAGGATTCCTCATCAAAAGTATACTATAGAGGAGCCCAAAACCCTATTCTAATTCTTAAGGCCCTACATTATATACCCCAGATAAACCTTTGATGTCAACCCAAACGAGCCGTTCACAAGTTGTAATGATGGAGACGGCTTGAACCGGATCACCTTTGAGCTCTTAACCCCAATCGCTAAACCTACAGTTACCGCGTGTCGGGATATGCTGTGGATTTTTTCGTCTAGGGCGAAGTTTCGGGTTTGGGGGCGAGGGCTCAGGGTGAAGTATTCAGGGATTCAATTTTTAGACCTTTGGGGTGCAATAGGTCCTGCTAGCCCTCCATGCGATGCCCAGGAGTGTCAAGGAGTCAGTCATGCGCCCCCCAGCGGCAAGAGGTGATTCCAATAGGCAGAGAGCCTAACACCCCTCCAGCAAGGCATATATCTGTTGTTGTGGCTCGGTGTTTGATCACTTCATACTTCTCCAAGTATTTAGCTCAAGTCAGTATGTTTGTGACTTTATAGTTCGGATGCATGGCTCCACAGTTAGACGGTCAATCTTCGACCATGTTGTCCATGCTAGGGGCTTGGTTGCGGCAGGGTCCGTCGAAAAGAACTATGGTCAAGGGAGTCCTACTAACTCTATTCTTTGTTGCTTGTCCGGGCCAGCCGTCGTAAGTAGTCGTCGTAGTAGTAGTAGTAGTAGTAGCAGTAGTAGTAGTAGTAGTAGTAGTAGTAGTAGTCGTCGTGGTGGTGTGGTGGTCGTAGCAGTACTTGCAAGCTACTGCTACTGCCACTACTACTGATACTGCTAGGACGACCACTATTACACATGGTAGTATCAGATAGTAGGCATGATCGTGACCCTGAGCTCGTGGCACATCATGCCCAGGTTTCATCCTCAGCGACCAGCGCGGTCTGCTGTATTCTTGCCACTTAGCGCTGTTGAAGAGGGCTTTTCGAGCTTAGGTCCACCGATCGGGTTTTCAGTGCCGTGAAGGCTCAGCATTTTTTAAGATCGGTGTTCGAGAGGGCAAGTGCTTGGAGTTTGTTTGGGGTCTCAGGTTTACCGTGAGGCATGTAACTACAAAGGCTAATTTCACTTAGCGTACAGGCCAAGATCCAGCCCACTGATCCTTCAAATAAACCCTAAAGCCAAGACCGCAAACCCTACAACCGCAATTCAGTGTTTAGGACGTAGGGTTTGGGTCATCGCAGCCCGAAGACCGGAAATTGAACACCGAAGCCCACGCCTCAAATAAGGAGCCTTAAACCCTAAACCCCTAAGCCCGAAACCCTAAACCCGAAACTTTAAGCCCTAAACCCTAAACCNNCACAACCCTAAGCCCTAAGCTTTAAGCCTTAAATGGTGGCTTTAGGTGTGAACCCTAAGCCCAAAGCTTTAAGCCTTAAACGGTGGCTTTAGGTGTGAACTCCTGGATGAACTACGTGCGCTTCGAGGCGAAGCAGCAGCGGCTGCACGAACAGCAGCAGCAGCCGAGTTGCAGGGAGTCTCCAAAACCCTGAACCCTAAAACCTTAACCCTAAACCCTAAACCCTAAACTCTAAGAGAGAAATAAATAGAAATTGCTGGATACAACCTTTGCATTTTCTCAAAAACACCCAGCCCAGCCCAGCCCAGCCCGGCCCGG